CAGCTTTTGGAAGCTGAGCAGGAGCAGAAGGTTCCGAGGGCAGCGTGGGGTTGGGGGAAACGCTCTGGAGCACGGGCAGAGCGTTGGGATTGGGGCTCGTGGTGCCAGAGCTGCTCCTGTTCTGGAGATCCCTCAGGGTGAGCCGGGGGGGTGGCTGCTGCTTCTCCCTGGAAGGAGAGAGAGAGAGGAAGGAGTGGAACGTGGCACTGAAATGTCACATCCAGCACCCCAGCAGTGGAAATGATGGGGAGAGGTGCGAGACACCACCATCCTCACTTACCATCTCACTTGCTGAGACTCTGGAGGCAAAGACTGTTGCAGCAGCGTCTTGCCCAGGAGGTCCAGGTCATCCAGGCCACTGGTTAAAGGAGGTTTGGGGGAGGATGTGCCAGTGTCTGCTTTGACTGGTGGCATTGCTGTGACAGGCGTGACATTGAGCTCGTTGCTTTCTGATGACTGTAAAAAAAGTGCACAGGAGAGCCCCCCCCCAGGCTTATCAGCACCAAGCGTCAGATGTGGGACTTTTCCCTCCCTAAGCTATCTGCTGCTTTCACCACCCTCCCCACCCTCTGCCCTGGCTCCCAGCCTGTTACCTGGAAGCTGTTCCAGCCACTGCTGTCAGCAGCCTGGGCAGGATGCGGCGCTGGGTCATTCAGGCCTGCCAGGGGTAAAAGCAAACATGGAACTTAGCTAGCAAGGGGGTAAGGGCATGAAATGAGGCCTGAGTAAGACACAGAAGCAGCAGGGCAGAGCCACCAGTGTGGTCTCCATCTCTGGTTCCCACCCATGCACAGGGGAGAGCAGGGAGGGTGGCAAGTGCTTTTTCTGCCCAGAGCTCCTCATTCACTGCCCAGGTCTCACTGCAACTGGCAGAGGAGCAAATACTGCTGGGCTGATGAGCCTGGCTGACCACATCATCTACTTCATGCTGCTGTGCTCCAAGCTGCTACCTTAGGCAACAGATGCTTTGTTAGGAAAAGCAGGACTCTAGAGCCTTCTAGCACTGGCACCTCACAAGACTTCCATGTGAGGAGTTCTGGAAGTCCTGTGCTTCTGTTGTCAGCTTGTGACTTCAGCTTCAAGAAGTAAACAGGAGGAGCTGGGGGTGATCCACCCTCATGATCCCATCTGGGAATGGCTGTCCCATCACTCTTGATTTACCTGCCAGTTCAGTTTTCCCAGAGCAAATCAGAGGGCACATCCCTGCAGGCTCTCTCTGACTACACACCACAGAACTCTCTCTAAACACCACGGGACTGAAGTTCAGGATCATAGCAGGGTCCTTCCCTCCTCTTCCCTCACACTCAGTGAAGGACACCTCTTGGTCTTTCATCACTCACCTCTTCCAGAGCTCTCCCTTATTCCTGTTCCTGCCACAAGCAGAACCATCCATGCAGACTGCCCAGAGTCAAAGAGAGAATAAAGAGCTCTTGCTCTGCATTTCTCACCTAAAGACATGAGCTCATCATCCAGCAACGAGACAGAGCCAGCTTGGTCAGGCACGGGGACTGCTGAGCCACCTGGAACGGTGGGCAAGGCTGGGTAGGAAGGGCCTGTTGCTGGAAGATCCAGGCCTGACAGATCCAGCAGAGCTGAGGTGCTGCCTGCAAAGAAGGAACAAGCTGAGAGACAGAAACCTTATCCAGGGTGCCGAGATCAATCCCCAGCCTTCCTCACATCTCAGAGGTGGAACTCCACCTCTGCTCTCTCTTTTAATTGCCTCTCTTCATGCATCAGGTTGTTTCCTCATCTCACCAGCCCCACTCTGACCTCCTGCAGGTTTCACCTTTCAGTCTTCTCTTAGACTACAGGAAACCAGCAACAAGGTCCTCTCTGCTTGACCTTCCTGTCCCCATGCCCCAAGGCTCCTCACCTCGAAGGGGACCGGTCACCACCTCCCCATTGATCTCTTCTCCCCGTACAAGCTTCTTGTAGAGGTTGATCACCTGTGTCAGATTGTCATTGGCTTGCAGGATCTCCGCTGGAAGGGAGTAAAAGTGGGCATTAAGTTTGAAAACCATGAAGAAGAAACCAAGAGAGTGGCTTTTATACCCTGACTCTGTCTGTTCCTTCAAAACAAGGCCCGAGGAGCTGACAACAGCCCCCTGCAGAGAGATTTTGGAGTCCCTGCAGACTGCCCCATGGTAGGTTGACACCTCTGTGGCAGTGCCAGCAGGACAAGCTCAAGCATCATTCCTGCAGTGAAGTGCAGGAGGCCTCTAATGCTGCTGACTGCTCCCACCCACCCCCAGGCTACAGACTGACCTCCCACGAGCAACCACCTCAAAGAGAGCTGTGGCTGCTGACAGACGCCACCCCCTGGGGCAGGACAAGAAGAGGCTCCCTGAAAAAAGATGGAGGGAGAAGGGGACAGAATAAAAAAGGCCAGTTATGCTTACCCAGAGCTTCATCATTGTCTTCTGTGTCACTGGCAAGGCGGAAGAGCATGGGCCTCATGCGCTCACAGCGCTGGTACAGCTCCTGGGGGAGAGGAGAAAGGGCTGCTGAGGGGAGCAGCAGGATGCAAAACAGGCAGGAGGAACCTGGGGGGATAAGGGTCACCCTCTAAGCCCCAGGGAGGATGCTGGGATGGTCTTTCCTCACCTTCATTAGGTCCTCGTTGCTTTCCGTCGTCTCCCCCTTGCTGTAGTTTGTCACCATCTCTGTCAGCAGCCTCACGTTGTTGTTCACCTCCTCGATGGCATTCATCCTCTTGGAGATCTTCTCCATGCGCTTCTGGTCCTGGAGGGGAAGCACATGGGGAAGGAGATCCTTGAATCCTCTCTGCAAAGCAAGGCTGGGCCAGCCAACACACCAGCTGCTAAGGCTCAGCAACGCTGCCCTCAAAACAGCTCCCACTGTGGTGGAGAACTCCAGATCATCTCTGGGCCATCACTTCCCAAAGAAGGATGGAACTGCCACAGTTCTAGGGCTGCAGCATGACTTGGGCCACAGAAATCACCCAGAGCTGTTCCTTCAAGTCGCCAAGGGATGGCAGAAATCACGCAAGGACTCCCAAGCAGCTGCTGCTGCAAAATTTTGGGCAGAACCTCTGTATGTCCACGTGAGGACAGAGAGCCACCGACCCCTCAGTGCCAACCACTGCCACCTGGACCATGCCCCCCAGCTCTTCTTTTCCCCAGCTTCACCTCCTGAACCATCTCCTTGATGAGCTTGTTGGCAGCCCGGAGGTCCTCAGGGTGGGAACTCTTCAGGAGACGAGCCAGTATCTGCAAAAAGAGAAGGTGCCTCTGAGCCCAGCCTGAGGGATGGCACCCAAAGTTACTCCTTCAACACCAGAGCCAGCAGACTTACCCCTGCCCCAAATCCAGCAGGGGCAGAGGGCAATGCCAGCTGTCTGAAAGCCCAGCCACGAGAGCTTGTGGGCTGTCAGAGAGCAGGGAGAGAACTGCAACCAGTCTGCCTTTTCCCATTGTGGTTCTGGTTATGCAAGAAAGGTCTTTCCCTGAAGATCCCCTGCATTCAAAACCTGTCCCTGCCTGCCTGTTACACAGCACAGAGACCCCAGAACACAGCAGCATGAGTACAGAGGAAGAAAGTCTGGTGTGTGGGGGAATTGCCATGGGATTGCCACAGACTCCTCCTCAGACCTCCTCACACTCTGCAGGTGCAACTAGTGAAGAGGGAGAGCTCCCACTTTGTCCTCCCCTCTACAGTCAGTGAACACCCCACTACAGATCCCACCAGCCACCTATGAATCCTTATTTGCACCCTGTGACCCACAGAGGCAAAATACATCCCCAGCATCACACCTCTGCTGCCCAGAGGAGCCTGACATGTGCTTATTGGTGCTGATAACTCAGGGGTTAGGCTGAGGGGTGATGCAATTCTGATAGGGAGACAATTCAGGATGGGTCCAGGAGGGTGTGAGCAGTTGGGCAATAAGCAGATTGCAGCGCTGGGGGTGGGGAAGGGATCACAGCAGCAGCATCTGGGGCTGGATTTAAACCTCAAGGATAGATAACACAAGAAGCCTGGAACCTCCCAGAACCTGCTGGGCTGATGGTCAGTGCTTCAACCTTTGCATCCAAAGTCAAGCAGACCCACGTGCCCCACCTCTGGCTGCCTCTGGTTTTGGAGCAGGCCTTCAGCATTCCTGTGATGCATTTTCTAAATGACACCATGGGGAATAAGGGCCTTGACTCCTTCTGCATCTCCACCTCAGGGGTGATGGGAGATTGTGAAGCAGGGAAGATGTGGCCCGCTGTCACTGTTCCTGCACAGAGCCCTCACCTTGGACTTCTCTTCGTCATCAAAAATGATGTTCTTGGGCCGAGGGGGCGGCGGGCGCAACGGGGCATCGTCGGGCAGCTTTGGGTCACACTTCACAATCCCTGCAGCAGACACCAGAGGAGAGGTCAGAACTCACTGCTGGGGGACGGTACTGCCTCCCAGGTCTTGTCTCCCCTCATGGCCTACCCAATCCAGCTGGGACTGAGGGTGTGTGGGTTTGCTCCCACTACCCACCACCCTGGACTGGTTTTCCACGAAAGAACTGCCCACTGCTCATAAATACCCTCTGAGGAACACCCAGAGCACTCTCAGCCCCTCAGCCCCAGACCTTTCCAGGGCCCCATCCCCTGTAGAAGCAAGCATATGTCCCTTCCAACACATCAAACCACTGGCAACTCCCTCTGCCCAGCTAGGAGCCCCAAGGCACCTCCTCCTTCACCCACCCCTGGTGCCGAGCCAGGCTGATAGATTTGCTGGGTCTGGGCACAGTGAAGGGAGAGTCTCTTTTGGATTCTTCCCAGCCCAAAAAAAAAAAGAGGGAGGGCAAACTGCCCATCCACCTTCCCCTTCCAGATTCCTGCCTCTCACCTTGTTTCTTCAGCATCTGGTAGGCTTCTGAGATCTTCACCTCGTGAGGCAGCCCCAATGTCCAGCTGTACATGAGCTCCAGGATCTTTGACTTCACTTTTTCTGGTGTTCTGCTGCCAAGATACTACAAGAGGAGAGAAAAGGCAGCTTGAAGTGGATCTGAGCAGTTGCAAGCCTGGCCTGTTCCTCTCCTACCCTCCCCCAGGAGAAGTGAGACAGTTCCCAACGGCACAAGGAGGGGGAAAGAGGAAGCAAAGCAGGAAAGCTCACGAGGCCCTTGCAAAAGATCTTATGGGTGCCTGGTTTCCACCACAGGAAACCCCAGAGGTGGGAGAAACGCTGCACCAGCAGCCCCTCAGCAATGAGCAGGGGTGGGCGGGAAGGTTCAGGGAGGTCTCTGCCACCTTGTGAGGGTCCTGTGAGCAGAAGCTGCTCGGCAAGGCAGCCCTTGAGGAACGAGGGGACAGCAGGGCTGTGGGGACCAGCCCAGCCCCTCTCTCAGAGGTCCTCTCCAGAGGCCAGTGGGTTGAAGCAGAAGACATTCTCTAGGGTGCTTAGCAAGAGGACTTTAGGATGCTGCTGTCACTGTCCCTGGCTACTCATCACCACAGATCATCAGCTGTGGCCAGCAGACAAAGGTTTTCCTTAGTCATATTTAGGCTGTGTTCCCTTAACTCCCTACTTGCTGGTGTTGGCTGCCTTGATGAAACAGGACAGGCAGCTTGCTCTGCTGCAGAAACAGAAGCATCAGCAGAGGAGCAGGTAATGACCTGGTGCTTCAGATGGGCTTGCTAGAGCACCACTGACTAGGCCTGGGCTTGCCCTCTGAGAGTGTCTCAACGAGGTTGGGACACCCCAAAGAGACCTGGTCACGATGTCAAAGCTGGAGGAGGTTCCTGAGCACAGGCAGCACAGACAGAGCCCAGCAGGGATGCAGGGAAGGTGACTCTAGGCACGCACAGGTAGTCTCACAAGAGCTGGTTGCATCATGTCTAGCTGGCCCCTCAGCTTCCTGCATCAAGAATTAGCCTGGAGCAGAGGGGTGAACACTCACCTCCCCACCAGAAAGCTCCCCAGCAAACGAGGACTACACCTTTCCTGGCACTGCCCTGGTTCCTCCCACATCCCAGCAGGTGCCTGAGCTTTCTGCCCAGCCACCCTCCTGCCAGCAGGCTGGGGTGCCCTCCAGCATGACTCCCTGAGACCCACCTTGGGGGACACCACTTTGATGAGCTCGTTGAGGAAGCGGAACTTGCCCACCTCGTCGTGGAACCGTTTCCCACAGCTCTTCATGCAGGACTCCAGCACCTGGGGAGATGGGCCGGGGGTAAAACCCCAGCCTGGGGTCAGCAGCAGGTTCAGGAGCCAGCTCCCTCCTGCTCCAGGCACACAGCCCCACAGCAGCGTGCAGGGGAACCCCCCTTTTCCCTCCCAGGTGGCCAAGCACCCTCCCAAAGGGAAGCAAAGGTTTTCTTTCTCAAGACATCAGTCTCTGCAGAGGTGGCTCAGCAGCCCATGGAAGGGGAGACACTTGGAAGAGTTCACAGCATGGATCCACAACTGATTAAGAATCACAGAACTGTTTAAATTGGAAAAGACCTTTAAGATTATCAAGTCCAACCACTCACCTAATACCCCTTCTCTCTTGGGGAGCCACCTTCAGCCTTTCTCCCACCCAAGGGCCCAGGTCCTGCAGGGCTTTCTAAGCAGGAGCTCAAAGCTTCCCACACTCCTCCAGTCCAACTGGAGCAGCTCCATGCCCTAGCCCTACCTGTAGCTCCAGCAGCCTGCAGGTGCCCTTACCGTGAGGGCCTGGATGGCTTCCCATTCCTGTGGGGACTGGATCTTGTGGGCCAGAAGTCTGGTAGCAAGTGGTGGACTGGAAGGAGCAAGGAGAAAAAAAACCCAAGCTGGTTATGGATGAAAAGCCTGGTACCCGTATTTCTGTCTGGGAATCCAGAGTTGAAAAGCACGTTGCAGGTTTAAGGCACTGGTAAGGCACCAAGACACCTCAAAACCCAGGAGGAAGCCCAAGACCACCTCAACTTTGAGTGGCCTCGTGGCTGTTGAGCTCTCAGGACAGTCCTACTGGATTGTACTGGGTGGTGAATCACACCCCAGGCCTGAGACCCAGAGCAGCCTGGGGAACAGACAGAGCACCTACCCCTCCAGCTCCTTATTGAGCTGCTCACAGAAGGCATTGATGCCATCCCAGTCCAGGTCCTTGTTCAGGGGGTTTGTTGCTTTGTCTGTGGGTGGGAGAAGGTGGCAAGTGAGAAAAACCTCCCCAGGCTCCCCACCTTGTGAGAGGAAAGGGCAATGCTGCTCCCACCCCCTCTCTGACAGCTCCACCAGGTGCACCCGTGGAGGATGGCAGAGATGGAAACACAAACTCTGGTTTCTTCCCGCAGAAGCCCTGTGTGCAAACCCTCCCACCACCTCTCCCTGTGCCATCA